GTTATATCCATTGCTTCTGCATTCTGAGTCTTGCATTCGATGACGACACACACAAACCAGGATGAAGACGAGGGAGCTGACTTTGAGAGAGAAAAGCAAGCAATTTGGATGCTAAAAGAAAAGAGGAGGTCAATTAGAGCTATAGCAAAAACAAAGGGCATGGAGAAATCAAGAGTTTGGAGACCACCGGAGACATCAGCAGCCATCAACGACCTGATCGGCTGAGAAAAACAACAGCAGTTGATGACAGACAAATCATAAAAGCTGTGAAAATGAACCCTAAAATACGTGTCTGTAAAATCACCAACAACCTGCAGAAAGCAGGGGTGATGCTTGGGACAATCTACTGTCCGCAGGAGACTTGGACACAGAATTACAGATGCTACAGCAAGATGCAAACCTCTGACCAGCACCAAAACTAGAAAGGCAAGATTAGAGTTTGACCCAAAACACTGCCAGTTTAGTCGAGGAGTTTATCAGGGCAAAGAAATGCAAAGTCAATCTCCAGATTTAAATCCGATTGAACATGAATTTCACCGGCTGAAGAGTAGACTAAAGGCAGAAACTCCCCAAAACAAGCAAAACAGTTGGAATTGGCTGCATTAAAGGCTGGGGCAGCTTTTCCAGTTACAAGCTACTTTTTCCATGTGAGTGAATGCTTCATCCTGGGTTTTTTGTAATATTATACACGAGCACAGCTTCAGAATCAGAATCAGAATGAGCTTTATTGCCAGGTATGTTTACACATACGAGGAATTTGTTTTAGTGACAGAAGCTCCACAGTGCAACAGAATGACAGTGACAAGACAGGACATACATAATAAAATACAATATATAAATATATATCATATTAGTAAATATAGATAATATACAAAATAGACAATGTACAAAAAAGCAAAAACACAATATATAATATAGACAATTTTGTATGTACATGTATGTACATGTGCAAATGTGAAATGTAAATAAGTATGTGTGTTAAATAAATGTATGATAGTGTTGTGAGTGTTGTGTGTATTGTTAAGTGTTCAAATGTTCATGAGATGGATTGCTTGAGGAAAGAAACTGTTCCTGTGTCTGGCTGTTCTGGTGCTCAGAGCTCTGTAGCATCAACCAGATGGCAACAGTTCAAAGAGGGAGTGTGCTGGATGTGAGGGGTCCAGAGTGATTTTGCCAGCCCTTTTGCTCACTCTGGATGAGTACAGTTCTTGGAGAGAAGGAAGGGTTGTACCAATGAATCGCTCAGCAGTCTGGACTACTCTCTGTAGTCTTCTGAGGTCAGATTTGGTAGCTGAGCTGAACCAGACAGTTTATAGAAGTGCAGAGGACAGATTCAATGATGGCGGAGTAGAACTGTTTCAGCAGCTCCTGTGACAGGTTGAAC